CCATTGGAACACAAGCCTGCGTATCCCACTTACATAAACTGCTTTAAGCGTTGTTGATTCTGAGTGTTCCGAAAATGCCTATCTTATTCAAAAGGATCCAAAGGCAGGAAATCAAGCGACTCACGTCCTTACAGTGCTTAACTTACATATGGAAAACTGAAGGAAGTTCTACTGATATGGGCGCTGACTGTGAACTTAGCTGAGTTCCACATGCTCGAGATAATGGAGGATTATCATATCGGAAGACTCATACATCAAGCTCACATTCAAGCAACTCGCGGCCAGCTGCAGACTCAACAGGAATAGGTTTACCAGATCCACAACTAAAGATCTTATTAGTTTTTGATACGAATTTTCTGTCCATTCGAGCCCTAATTGAACAGCATCGGGACGTGAAGTCTGTCTTCACAGCTGAGTCAAGGTATGACTCGAAGTCGTTGGAATGTCATGAGAAGCTAAAGTTCAGAGTTGTAACTAGACGTAAAACGGCACTCGGTAGCAACAAAATTGTAGATCTTAATTCCAATAAATGATTTAAAATTGTGGAGTACGCATTTTAAAGCATCTTCTACCGACCTATCGACGTCGAATTGTAAAGCTATAATTGTAATAAAATAGGGCAATTCCAGTCGGTCTGCAGCAGTCCAAAGATCTGTGCGACCCCGACAGTAAATAAGACATAGGTCTAAGTTCAAATTTTAATCCTCTTTTGTTTACCGCTGATTTCTCTGGCCCCATAAGCCACATCATGCAAATTTATTTCGCTTTAGATAATCGTTCTTTCACAATTGACAAAGGCATCTTTAAATCTTCTACTGCCTTTAATTCTCTCAAACATCTTAAATCTTGGGTAGGTATTAGATCCTCGAGCACTTTCGAAGGTGTTGTGGGACACTCATAGATGATTTTGAGGTCCTGATAACTTCCTCACAATTTACTGCATCTCTGCTCCAAGACATCTAGCTGGACTAAGACAAGGCCCGTGTGATTTGAACGGATAGGCTCCCTGGTATTTGTGAAAGTTCCCAGTTTGGGCAACGTTCATTATGACTCTTCTCAAGGCTGATGGTATGACCCCTCGGGTTTGTGATGATCATCGATTCATGTTTAACAAGTTCCTCCTACGACACAGATGTGCTATAAATGAGCGAGATGCTATTATCCAAACTCGACTTGAAAGACGCCCATCTACAGACTCCGTCTGATGATGCTTCAAGAGATTTGACTGCGAATAATACTCCTTATGAACCGTTTTATGGTAGTTTTTCCCCTTTCGGTCAAAACCTTTCACCCGATACCTTTGGGGGTGTTACGGATGGCAGAATCGTTATTAACCGGGATGCTCGTGTTCATGCCTCCATCATGCAACATTAGATTGAAAAACTGCGTAAATTACCTGAGAAATGCCACCATTACAATATTTCATTCAGCACACCGAAGTGTATTTCTGACTCGTAGAAATTGGCCTTGCATTTCTCGTCATTGTCTGTAACTCCATTTTAAAGGCTTTCAGTGAATCGCACTCTTTTATGGACTCTCTTAGGTAGCGTTCTCATTTCGTCATCAAGTTCACTAGGTTGGCGAAATCTTCAGTTGAGCTTCAGCTCATTTGATGCCTTCAAATGGCCTGGTACATAAAAGTATATTGAGCATCTTATCCAACACTGTTCTAAAGGTATCATTACTTAAAAACGGGTAAACTTTTCATTTTATTTAGAAAGCACCAGCCAAATTGCCATAAGGACATTTTTGGATCAAAATTCGCGGAGATCTACACGCAAGTACTATAAATCGACATTACCGGTGCTTTTCATTAACTACTATCACACAAATTATTTATCATAATCGTTGACGAACCAGCTGAAAGGCTCATAAGTGAATAAAAAGTGGCCATACCCTTATGTAAGATGCTGCAGAATCGATCAAAGTAGCGAAACGAAATGGAGGGATACTGTGGGGAAGCGAATTCCCTTGATTCCTCGTCGAATACTTCCTCATAGAGTATGTAGCGAGCCAATTCTCCCCAGTGCTGATTGGAAGGCGGCCTTGTGCTGGTGACTGGAATAGCCCCTTTTGGTATTTCGCCATCCATAAGCAAACTTATCTCTGTAAACATTTGCAGCGGTTTTGAGTCATCTAGTTATATAAAATGAAAATACTAATAATTTTGAGTTTCCCGTATTCATGTTAAGTTAGTGTACTTGGCAAATAGTAGATAACGACCGAGAGGATCTTTTTTGGAGATAAAAACTAAAGCCAAACTGAGGAGCACAAGCACTGAATGTTTTAGGTGATGTGAGTGATTATGCATTGTATTTTGGTTTCTTTGGCCAGGTGATATTATTCTGATGTGTAGCTACTGGAAAATACCCCATCTTCTCTTTCACTTATATACTGTTTTAAGTTACTAGATATGTGAGCTGAGGGGTAAAGACATTTGGGCTGCTAGGTTTACCTCCTATGTTAGATTAAGTCTTGTGAAGCGCCATCGTTTTTAAATTTGAAAATCGCGTTTGCATTGAAAATACTGCTACTAGAAAGTTTATTTGTTTTGTAAAAACTGCAAACAGAAGTCGGGTTAATTTACTGCCAAATTCATTGCAGTATAATTATCACCCACGAGTTCTCGAATTTCACCAGTTGTCAGCAATGACTGACGTTGCTTCTCAGTTATTTCTTTGGACTCATGATAAGCTAAAAGTAACAGTGATTTTTGCCGGATCAGTTGATTGGTCGGAGATATTCTATCAACTGCCTATTCCTCGATGTATTTAACCACAAGTTTTTACAATGGATGAGGAGACACCATTCACATGACAAAATGTGCCGAATTTGAGTTTTCGATGCATCAATACGTAAACTAACGGAATCACCTATAAGTGATGCTCCGATCCCCTAGCCTGAGCCCCTAAGTCACACGCGTGGTCTCAAAGTGAATCACTCAGATTGGAAAGGGAAAAGAAAACAAAAACAATGGGTGACATGCTAGAACAACTAAACAAACAAGCGTTGGTGGTCAATTTTCGTCTGGGCTGTGCTAGATAAATAGTTTGAGTAACCTTTGCCATGCATAAAATCCGTGCCTTATAATTATCTTGAAAGCTGAATAAAAACCCGATTGTTCTTTATGAGATTTGCGAATAAAGCTGGGAAAATACTGATAAATGAAGCTTTAAAAATAAAATCAAGATCACAGACATAGCACTTCATTAATTTCCCCATTTGCAATTTTATACATATTTTGAAAGAGATTTCTCAATTAGACCAAATTATAAATGAAATTTTCTATGCAAATATTTGCAAATCAAACTCACGCCTAGAATCAGAATGTGGTTTTTCCCCGTAAGTCTTGTCGGTCATTTTACGGAGACCCTTTTCTCCGTTGGCTAAGTGCATTAGGCGGGATTCGGAGTGCAGTTCTTATTATATTAGTTTTTCACAAAGTGGAGCCTTCCGATTGGGTGGACAAGGTCGCTTGCAGTTATTGGTTCGTTGAGCCATGACAGTTCTCCTTTGCGAAGGTTTTGTTAGGCCTAAAGGTCTAGTAGTTCGTGAGGGAACACTTTTGCAATGTATTTTGCAGACGATTTTTGGGTATCAAACGATGAAACTTGATTGAGACGTTCTACAATGCACTCAGTTGTTTTTTGCTAGTGCAGGAACTTTACTATGAGAATAGAGGGCGTCTCTCGCTTAATTTATTTCTAATTTACTATCGTGACTTGTACTGCCTTGGTATAAAAGAGATCGTGTCAGCTATTCAAAGGCTTAGGGGAAGTACAAGCGATTTTTGAATTCCGTTGGGACCAAATTACCAAGGGGTTACCGCACATTGCACTTGTTTGTTCTTCTAGGTTATGTCTTGCTGTAGTTTTAAAAAAAATAATCCCCTTGTTTAGTTTTCTTCTTTATAACAAATTTGGTCAACTTTTCCCAGTTAGTAGTTGCGGGATATCACGTACCTCCAACAACCAATGCTCCCAATTTTTCTTAATTCTCAAACTTAAATTCTACGCAGCCAATGATCTTCCCTATTTATTGTTAAAAAACTAAAGGCTCAGGCAACCAAAGTTTAGGTTTTAATTTCCTTTTTGCACTAGGCCGAAGTGTCGGATGTCTCAAGCAAGTCAGATGCTGAAGATCGCAATAAAAAGTGCTCAACAGTATTTGGACATACTGATCTCATCACTCGTCGGTTGGCTAAGTTATTAGACGACCCCTCTTTGCGAGAAGATGTAGAATAGAATAGTTCGGGTTTTGGCATAAGCATATTAGTGCCTACACCTTCAAGACCTTTCATGTTGGAAAATCGACTGAGGCGACAATAATGACCAACCATTTGAGATGCATTTAAAAAAATTGCAAAATTTTGGGTGTATTTTAACGAGTTATTCAATTTGTTTAAAACAACTTTGAAAACACTCAAATTAGCAGCATACAGGCGGCATGCTCACGCTTTTGATGAAGCAACTGATGCTTTCTCAAGGGGTGAAGACTACACCATAAGTCGCTAATAGTATACGTGACACTGAAATTGTACACGGCAGTATTCGCCTCATTAAATTCTAAAGTGCTGAATACTTTTTGTCATACCTCTCGTCTTTTTTCCACAAATACGTAGGTTGGTAAAAAGATTAGACCGAAATTTTTAGCAAGTCCAGCCATATATAACAACTGGTCTGCGTTTAGCTTGATGTAATAACCGCATCACAACAAAAACTTCGCCTTTCAATTCCGATCACTTTTACAAAAAGCAACCTACCCATTTAAGAGAGCGTTTTGATGATTAGGCGTTTTTAATGTAAACCACGTCAGTCTTCTCTCACTTGACAATTGTACTTTTAGATGGTTACGTCAGGAGCAAAGGCCCTCTCCGTAATCGCGCAAAACCTGTTGTTGCCTTCATCATGTTAATAACCTTTCTATATCGCTGCACCTCCAAATTATGGGCTTGTGGCATAGAAATCGCCGTCTTTGTAAAAGCTCACAAAAATTAGTCGCACTATATTAATGGAATATACTATAGGTAAATTGCTAGCAATTGTTTTTTAAAGTATTATTTTTTGAAAAAATAGTTGTACTAATAAAAACCATTTAAATGGCTTTTTTGCTGAATTGTTTTACTTAGTGGGAGCTGATAATTTAACGACGCCAAATGTGTGTTGTTTACTCGGAATAAGCACTCCATTATATCCACCACGTAACATTATTTCATCCGCTTACAGCCCCGGGAACCACTTTATCAAACATCGCTACAAAAGTATAACCATTGGATTTTTTTCAAGTTTTTAATCGGTCTTAAATAATTTCACATCTCTCCAACGTTTTGGTGAGTACCTTAGGGGGGAGATTGTTAGGTGACAATTTGCTACCTTGGAATCATTTAAATTAAACTTAATTATCTTAGAAAAGAATTCTGAAATTTTGAACACACTATATTGCATTTAATAGCATGGACACTGAAATTTCTCAGTCCAGTAGTCATTACGATTATGCGGTAAACACAGCGTTACGTACCGGGAATCAGTTTTCGACAGCTGTACGCGACAGGGTACTCCTCGCTTCAATGGTAAAAGTTGTACAATTTCATCCAGTTCGTGTAAAACATTCAAGGATCTTCAGCCATTACCCAGGCAAATTTCAATGAGTAGATTTTTATGTTGACAACTCTCGCATGCACCCTTGTGTAGCCAAATGGACGAGCCTTACTAATTCCAACCCCATAGTAATTCCTCGAGATCCATTTTAAGCTCATCTGGAGACGTCTTTATCGAGCTCGCTGTCATAATTCGTGATTTTAAAGACAGCATAAGTGCCTTGCCTCCATCAAGTTTAGGGATATGTTTCATAATAATGGGATAAACACTTCAACGTTTAGCACTGTTATGTAATAGCCTAAAGATAGGGCAGTGACACCGAGGGGACGTGCGAATCCCCCAGAACGCTTATCACAGCTTGTTTGGACTAAGGAAAATACTTTTTTAGGTGATACAAATAGCTCCAGAATACGATTAGTTAAGTAAGCGGCTGTTTTAACCCCGCCACTGAGAATAAAGTATTGAGTAATTTATTGTGTTGTAGTCAAGGAACTTTGTTTGTTTCTCACATTTAAATCAAATCGGACTTTACTCGTAGTCAGCATGCATTCGTAATGAGTATGACGCAAAAGCGACTCAGAATTTCCAAGCCGATGTCATTACTTTTTATGAGTGAAAACCCAATTTCGAATTCCACTGTATGTAAAAGTTAATGGCATCTGCACAGTGGACGAAGGTCCAACCATGCGGGGATGGTTTGTATTTTATCTACGGTGGCGAAGAGAGCGAAATCTGAGGAACTTGGTTATGGCAAAATACATAAAACAGCCTAGATTTTTTAACCTATCGACTTGTTTCAAATGATTAGTCTGTTTTGCTAATTGAAAGGTCAAAATACATTCAATCTTGCTGGTAATTTACTCACAGACGCTATCATATTCTCCTCGCTAATGTCTTTATGTTCTGCAATGCAATTTTTCCTACTGCTTGACCCCTAATCCAAATTGGCACAATGTCTGATGTCGAACACACAAAATGAGATGTCCACAAACTGCAATCTGCTTTGAAATAGAGAAAGTATTAAAGCCATAGACTAATAAATTCCATACTTGATGAAATTTAATGATTAACCCTCAACGATCCAATGCTTTCGTTGTAGTGTGTGCTGACTGGGAAGACGAAAGAAGAAATAATGCTCAGGCAGAACATGTATTTGGGACGTAAAGTACAGGCCGCCCAGAGGAGGTACAGTGGCGGGGGCCCTTAGTGGTCCGTTACCAAAACTGAGAGTTAATCAAACAATTAACGTATTACACTTATCTACTTTATTGTTTCAAGCCCAACCAGTCTGCCACGTGATTAAACCCAGAGTTATCACTTGTCATATATTTTCGACCCTGATGTTGGAGAGTCAAATTGTTATCTTACATACAATCGGCGGTGGTGGAGGGCGTGCCAAAAGCAAAGCCTATATTCATGACGATAATGAATTCTTACCTTTTCATAATAATTAAAAAAAAAACTTGCCGTTAAATGCACTATAGAAGTTGATCATCCTTACTTTATTTACAGTTTAGTTTACACTGGGTCTCACCAGAATGTTATTCAGATTGTCTCAAAGCTTTATCCACGACAAACCCTTGTACTTATTAAATACTCGAAAAATGCCTTAATCGGGCCTCCCTTTATTTCATATAACAGAAGGCTTATTATATTCCAAATTAATTGTTTTATGAAGGTAGGAAACACACATTTCTCTACTAGTAAGTCTCCATTGAGTCACTTTCCAAAAGTGATGTGACAATTCTTGACAATTTCACTGAAGACTAATTGCCTACCCAATGGTAGGTATTAATTGAAAATGGGTCGCTAAATGGATCGGCTCAACAACATATCGACGATGTATGGATGAGCATTTGAACCCAGAAAGATGTCATTGCTATAGCACCACGTCATCTACGTTTCGCATTCATTACTATAATACCTAAGAAGGTTAGCAATTTATACCGCATTATATTATTACAGTCACGGTTTATCCTGATTTTGTCTAGGTTACTTACTTGTCACTCACTTTATTAGAAGGGATATTTCAGCTTTTCGCAATAAAAGGAACTGGGAGAAATATTCGACACAAAAAAGGCTAAAGTGCACACAACAAGGTTGTGAATCTGCACAAATAAAATCCAGATTTGACTATTCACTGTGAATTAATCATCAAGCATTACCAAGAAAATTGCCTTCGCTTCTAAGTATTTTGATATCGATGCATACCTACATTGAGCAAGGATTAGGAAGAAACTACCTGCTGAAATGCGGCGCAGTTTTCGATTATCTAACGCTCAGTCCAGACTATTTGAGGATAACTATAGCACATATTGAGAAGGTGGTGAGAGAAGATGTTTATGGACAAGCAACAAGCACATTCCAAGCTCCCATGACCAGAGAAGCTGGAATCGGGAATTTGGGCCTGTATCACTTGCGATTTTTAGTAACATTTTGCATTAAATATAACGAAACCACTCGGTTCCCAAGGCCCATACCTCTGTGTCGGCTAACAACGCTGGTCTTTGTGATGGCAAACAACGCTTTCAAATCAGGGTCGGGTACAGGAATTTCAAGTGACAAGTGATGAAGAGCATGCTAGCGAAATCGCCTTATATCACACCCACCTCTCATTCTACAGTGAGCTACGGGCAACTAGGCTGCCTGTCGAAAATAGTGCCTGTTTGGCTTTCTAAACACAAAGGCTTCACCGAGCGCTTTAAATAAAATTTCCATGCCTTTACTCCTTGCTGAAATCGCCCTCATTAGGGCTGGAGCACACAATTTGATGGCTACTTAAGCGCTGGATCGCAATTAACGTAACACTGCAGCCCCTTCGAGATGCGTAGAATACAATGACCTTAAAACTATCATCCCCTCTGCCTTACTGAACTTGAACCTAGCTTCTCGTCTGTGCAATTTGGACGCAGCCCGATCGACTCCCCGGTGTAGTATGCTCCAGTGTGCCATAAGCCAAATTTATTCAAACTTTCAATAAGTCCAGTACCGCTACTTAAAGTTGCGCTCATCACTACTCAACCCTATGCTCATGATCGAAAAAGAACCCTTAACGTTTAGACACCGAGGCGTACTCCACAGCGTGGAGAAGTGGCGGAATCGTAGACCAAAGCACTTACTCGACTTTAATTGAACGAGTGCAGTGCACTTTCCTAAAAAAACAATAAATTTAAAGCATTAACTCACAAAACAAACCCAGTGCCGCCACCCAATGTTGCGCGTTTCACTGCACAACCAAGTAATGAAAGAATACTCAATTTCAAGTTACTTTCGCTGACTCTCGATTCATGTTATCGAATTACTCACTAGAAAAATTTACCAGTCTGTAGGGCCTTAAAAATGAGATCAGCTTCACGCACCACGATTTCATCACTTCAGAAACGCCACTTTATGTAGCCAATCGTCCTCAGACATCAATTAATGCAACGTCCCATTTTTTTTTGCTCTAAGGTAATTGAGGCGTATTCTGACGCATGATTCAACTCGCCCTAATGCCGTGACGTCCGCAAGCGTGCTCTGAGATATAAAAAACGCACTCCCGTCTGGCAAATTGTATGTTGATTTATGGCCCTTTCCAAGGAGAAACAAATCCACAATCGCCCCTCGGGGAAAGGCAACAGCTAAACTACCGAAATTAACAGGTACCGCAGTGTCGGAAAGTGCTTAATCTAACGCACCACCCCGCCATAGTAGCTGCATTGATGGCCACTGCTCGTGACGTGTCACTTACAGTCACCTCCCTCCAAGGCGCTTGGTTTACTGGCGTCTAAGCCTTAAGGATAAAGTAAAAAACCCAAATGGCTAAAACTAGATTATTCGAGGCGAGCGCAAAGACACGTCAATTTGCCATACATGCAATCGTATTTGCAGACATATTGGAGAAAATTCTTTGGAACGCCAGCACTAAATGCGATACAAGTTCCTGGGGCACTTCTTATATCCAAGCCGAAAACTTATGAGGTGAAGGAAAAGATCAAAACTGGTACACCATTCACGAACGAAACAAGAACTCTTAACATCTAGACAGCGAGGTAAGTACTACGATGTGACGAAGTGGTAGGACTTTGCACAAAAATCACCAACTCAACCTTGATTGAATGAGTACAGCGTAGTTTAAAATCACTAAATTTAATGCATTTACTCATAAAACTAATCGCCACCGTACAAGAATCACCTACCGCTAAAACGTCAGTAATATGTATAGAAACAGAGCAGAGCGAAACGATGTTCGAAGATTAGGCCAATTACAAAATTTACCGTATTAACGCCAATGAGCTAGGACTACTGGTGAAATTGAACCAGATCAAAAATCTTGACCTAAGGTTAGAGATGCAACGGCAAATTAAACTGCGACTAGTCAAAAAATAAACCGGCATACAAAGCACATTAGGTGTGTATGAATGTTGACAACAAAGAAGAACCGGAAAGATCAAATAGCCTTCTGGCAATTATAAACTGCTTGGGTAAAAGGCGTGCAAAGCAGTGACGAAAATGGTGGACGCGGAGTAAGAAATCTATTATGGGACAATTTGGTGCATAACTACTTTGTACAGAACCGTAAAAACGCAAATTACTCTGCGTTTCACCAGTCTATTGCCCACTAAGAAATTTGGCAAGAAAATCTCTCGGTTTTTCGACCGCAGTTTCCCGGAAAACATCCATGACTTGGCAATCAGAGCGCCATAAATGAGCAACCTCCAGGAGATCGTTTTGACCCTACAAAATAAATTTGAAAAACAGGAAAATATACCCGATGTACAAGCAGATCAACTACGCGAATGTCCTTGACATCTTTGTTTTTCATAAACTCCTCCCTCAACTTTTGCTTCAACTGCGGAAGAGTAGCGGTCACATAGGTAAACCCATATTCCTTTATAATGAAGGGAAGTTGGCGATACCAAGCACGGTACAGATTCAGAACTCTCCGTTTTGCTTCCACAGGAGTTCTAGAAAGTATAGGCCTGACGACCTTAAAGCCCCCGGAGGCGGACATCGCCAAAGCACTAGATCAGCAAAACCGATTGATATAAACTACCCTCCAGGAACAAATACTAGCTTAAAGCCGATGCCAACTTGCAGACCAGTGGGTGATTTACACACATGAGCATGATTCAATATTTATGTTGAAAATTGCATTTCAATGAACATAAAATATTCATACACATAGGTGAGCAATGCGTCACTTATTCAAGGCACTATAAGTGAAGACAATGCCTTTGCTTTCATTTCCAGTATAATATAATAAATGTTGCTGTTAGATTATCTGGTGGGAAGTTCCTTGTATACAGGAGTTCAAAATGTTATACTTTAACTGGCATTTGTATCCAACGCCATCTTACAACCTTGTTATGACAGGCGAAAATATAAGTCACATCCTTCCGTTAAGTGTAAAATATTCTTCATCGTCATACTAAATACCACATATTTACTTATACCCAAATAGACTTAAAACTTTAATGCCCAGTGATCATAGCACGTTTAAACAGTATTAGCCTTCAATAATTTAGATATCTAGGAGGTTTTATAATAAACTCGAATTTTTCGCTTGGCAGGTTTTTCTGTGTTTTAATTTGCTGTGGGGGAAGGAAACCTTTGGATCTTGCGTGTCTGTTTAATAGATTGAGGCTTGTTTCTCTGTAGGTGTGGAATTGGCACTTGATATTGATGGAATTGACTGGTAACATGGTGGATGTTGTGTGTCTTGTAGCAACTAATCGGTTTCTTATGCCGGTTCATTACGTTCATTGTTCTTTGCATGTTTGACAAATGTGCACGAATATTTTTTTAGGTGATTCCTAAATTATGCTTGGTGGGGTGTCGAAATTAGCCAAATTGCTGGCTTCTGACAAAATTAAGACGCGGAAACTGGGTTACAAATACGTCCGTGAACTCCTAAGTTTGGAACCCGGTTCGGACCAATGTGGGTTTCGGGAATGCTGTTCTTACTGTCCGTTTCCCTAGTTAATATGTCTTTCAAAGACATGCTTGGTGTTTGTAAAGGTCTATATTACAGTCTGTGGATGCAAGACAAGTTGTTATTGCAGGTACTCTACTCCATCGCTATTTCGAATTTGCAATATATAGGAAGAAGCCGCTGCAAGAATTGCCAAGCTAATTTCGACTACAAAGTCCAGGGGGATTCGATCCATGTATATAAAGGCGATGTTTGAGACCTTGGCTCGTGAGTGGGACAATTTGGATACTTGGAGGGAGGATAAATTTATGATGGTATGTTCTGACAGACGCTTTCAGAATTTATTCTTGCGGATATGTGGTGGTTCAGAGAATGTCCGAGGCCTTCATCTGAGCCACCACTCATTTGCATCGATTTTCGAGTGCCGATTTAATAAATTTCCCTCATTTATAGCTGGTGAGAGTCTTCTTTGTACGCTGTATTGGATCCGTTACAAAACGTAAAGTTTCCGTAGAAACGCTTGTAAATGCTGTTTTTGGAAATGTAATAAATACCAGCACCAATTCAGCTATCGGCCTGAAGCTCCATTTATGCCTCGTTATTCAGCAAGAGCTCCTCGATGCAGGGGTATGTCGTCTCTTGATTGGGCGATCACTGTTCAGGAAATCCCCACAGTCATTCACTTGTTCTTCAAACACACCATCGAAACTCTTCAAGCCATTCCAAAGTGAGTGTATGAGTAATTTCTTATTCATCTTCCCTTCAGAGGTAGTGCCTATGCGTCGGAATTGATAAAGTTACTCCTCTTCTTAACCAGGCAAATGCGAAGATACCCTAAGGTTAGTGATTCGCTTTAATACTTATAATGTCGCCTTTTCTGTAGCTACCTCTGAACAAGATAAGTGATGAACTACTGGTTTCATCTACAGAGATTGTGACTCACAGGAAAACATTGCGAAGAATTGCACTTATGTGGGAATGTTTTAACCATTTTTGAAATGTTATACTGTTTTGACTTGGTGTAATAACGAAATTCTTCTTTGTGGCTATTTAGGTTGCACACGAAAAAGTCCAGAATCAATGACCAGCGAAGGAACTTTTATGAAAATCCGGCAGTCTCAAATGATGCAGAAGCCACTCCTGTCGTTGCTCCATCCATCAATACCACCACTCCGACAAAGAAGAGGAGGTTGCAAGATTTTCTGGAGAACTTTGTAGGTTTCGCCGGCTCGGTTACAGTAGCGTTTGTAGCAAAAGCGGTCGGTTTCCCGTTGTTTTGTGCGATTTTAGGAAGGTTCGTCCGATGTCAGCGCATGCCATCGTAAACGGAGGAAAAACGTAGATTTGGGCGATGAGGAGGGAAGTCCGTCAATTCTCCCATGCCGAGAACCGGATTCTCAAAGAACAGTATGACAAAATTGATAACCCTTTTTTTTCGCTTCAATGGCGTATTCTACCGCCCTATATTTGGAGATAATAGGCCTGTAGAATTCTTTATTCATGCAATAAATGGAAATGACTGCATTTTCATCAGTCGACAAATTTTTCGTAAAACGAGACTTACGATATCCGAGACTACTTTTGGTTTTCTTTTTTTACGGAAATGCATATTTATTTCAACCGAAATGCGAATGGCGTTTGTGATGTCTTTTTTAAATTTTATTCCTTTTGACAATTCCTGGTTAGTAAATGGATTAACCATATCAAGGCCAACTAACCAAAACTTCTTGTAAAGGCAGCCGCATTCATCAGTGGCAAAGTTGGACGAAATGGAGAAACACGGCTGAATAGTATCAAAATGTAAACCTCCTCGAACAGTCATTATACTTCGTTATTGCCATGTCGTGTTCTGGACATCCATCCATCAGTTTGGTACTTTTGTGCTGTCATCTCAGAGATGTTTGAGACACTTGATTAACTCAACCGGTCAAAGTGAGTGAATGTCTGCCGTGGTCAATGTGGATGGGCGAAATGATAGGGGTAATGAAAACCGTTCAGTAGAGTTTGCAAGTTCTTGTAAATGATTCTGTTTGAACTTAGACTTGTCGTCTCAAGTAGACTGCGCCAACTTATCGCCAATAGGTCATCTTTAACTATTTTGCTCATTTTCGCTGAATGATTGCTGGCACCTGAAGACTGCACCATCAACAGTTTGGGCGAACGCTTTAAATCCGATGTTTCACATTTGGTATCATATGGTGCGGCAAATGCACGTTATCGTAAATGTCAGCGGTTTGCCTTTTTATTGCTTGTAGCAATTCAAATCCTTAATGGTCTATTGGGTATCTGGTTCCATAACTCATTTCATTACAGGCAATAGCTGATGTTGATGTAAGAGAGGATGTTTCCGCGGCAGCTTCTTCCGCAATGAACGGGGAACCAGCCAGTGTGACAACAAAACCAGAATTTGACCTTTCAGTAATGGATCAGACTTCACCTATACGCGAGAAAAAGCGCGTTTCCTTCGGCAAGGTGGTCTGTAAAAGTAGGTTTCCTCTTGTTCAAATCATGTCTTCTATAGCATTTCCTCACCTTGCTTTACCTTCTTTCAAAGGGTTTTCGACTCGCCGAGTCTTGAGTGCCAAAAGCATCACCCAGACGGAGCCGGATCGAAGCATTCTGCGGCATTAGGACTGTGCGATGCTAAAGCAGGAAGCGATTTCTCTAATGTGTGTGCATTTCTGGGAACTTTGCATTGCGGAAATCTCTTGTTTCCGTAATCTCGTCTTCTGCCTCACTAATTCCGTTTGCATTTGATTTTGGATGCCGTGAAAAGACAAATGTAAACGATGAGTTTCTTTAGCACTGTGCCGTAATTTCATTGGCAATAGGTTGGTCCTCGAAGGTCAGTCTTGTTTAGAGTATCGAGAGTTTTATGGGAAGTGCTAAGCATAATTACCAGGATTTTGACAATAATTGTTTAGGGGTGTTTTCCATGGCTTGATGAGCAGGGAAATCCCAAGTTTCATGCCGCTTTGTTGGTGTGGTCATAGAGCATTCAAAGTACTGAAAAAAAGGTTTTTAATGGTAATCGCACTAGTTTGGCATTTTATTATGCGTCAATTGTTTGGTTAACTCTCGGTTTCGGCAGCAGATCGCTTAGGGGCGTTGCCCCTGTACCCCTTGCCAGGCAACCTGGCTTTTTGGTCATACCAGTAGTCAATAAGCCCTTCTGGAAGTCTCGAGTCGCTACATTGGAGGCAGTGGAAAATGAATCCTATCTTACAGGACGTCTCCCCTGATTTCGACTCCTGCAGTGATTGACCTTGAATGTGCTGAGGATAGGAGGATTTGTGACGACCTCAAACAGACGGGTTGAAAATGACGAATACTTACGGCAATAACCTCAGTCCTGTGAGACATTTAATTAAATTTGTTACGAAGCTGTGCGAATATATCAACAAAGCAAATACACGATATCTCCTTCACTTTCCTACTAGCTGGATGGAACCCAGGTCAAAATGGCTGGTCAGTTCTGAAGTCGTAACAATGTAGCAAGGAGGAATCGGCGCAAAACCCTACTCCACGGAACTATTCTACACTTCGTTCTTTGCCATGACTTATTTTAGGCCAGTGCTTCTACGGCTGGCGATAGACACGCGTATTGGCCAACACATTCTCCTTCCCCCCAAATACAGTTCCCATACGGGACGACACTTCAGATGCAGTTGAATTACTAAGAGAGATCAGTGACGTTGCTGTCATGTATCTCCTCAGTTACATGGAAATTCGACAGCTGGCACTGTTGGTTCATGGGTGTTTGTCATACAGCACCGACTACGTTGTGATGGCTGACGCAGAAGTTTGACGGAGGGAAGCGCCGGGCACGACGCTCAAAAGAGGAGAAAGGCGACTAAATACGTTACCTATTTGTTTACCTCTCTTTTTTGGTAAGAGACCACGTAGGAAATCTGCCATTGACCTTTGCAGGGTGGGCTAGCCTCCGGGCCATGCCAGTAGTCCCAATCCTCTCTGGAAGCCTCAGGGTGCTATAATATATTCATACAAAGATGTTTTTTTGGAAAAGTAGAAGAAAAATTGATTCGGGACAAAAGTGTGTTTACCGTCCCATTTGGTAATGGTCGCTGTTGTCACATTATGCCTACTCATGGTTATTTGGCACTGTTCCTGTTGTTTGAAATGGCGCTATTTAGGTAAAGTTTTTTTTTCTGAAGGTTAGAGTTTTATGGGAGCATTTCAAATAAATGGATTTGGAATTTCGGCGTCTACATAATCATTAATTTCTTTTCCCGAAAACAGTACCTGCCGTGTATCTCGAGAATCCACAACCAATGAGACATCTTACGAACCATATTAGTGTCTCCTTTTGATGCCAGGACTAGCAAAACACTGAACAGCATTACCTCTACAAAATCGTAGATGTGAACCAGAGATATTAAAGACGAGTTTTTCGTAAGTAGTTCAGACTATCAAGCAGAAAATTTATAAAAATTCTCCCTCAATGCATCGATTTTTTTTTAAAATAGAGACTCAATTTAAACGCTCGGTGAATTGGTTTGCTTCTCAAAAGACACTCGAAACCGCGCAAGGAAAACCGTTTCGCCAGATCGAATGGCGCACAAGGATTTTGACTCGGAAGAACGATTCACGGATATCAAGCTTGAATTTCGACCAGCAGGTTGGCCGAAAATAGATCTCCACGCAGATACAAAAGAAGACTTGTTTCGCTCTTTCAGTCTTTTCGACATGAACGGTCTTGGTGCTGTCAGCATTGACTCAGTCAAGGTAGGCGTATACCCTCTCTCACGCAGCGTTTAATTGCTTTCTACTAATAATCACTAAGTATATAAAGTATTTTACCGTAATAGATCAATCAAAACACTCGATGCTTCGTTCTCATTGGAGTAAAAGTCCACATACATGCATATAAAATTGTACATTTTCCGTGTTTTAAACTTAATCGGGTTTACTTTGTGTTTGGGACGTAATTTGCGATGCATAGGGGTAGGGTAAACTAATTTCAGGTTGCACTGCGCGCCCTGGGTCACGAAATAGACGCTAAGGAAAGTGAGGCGCTTAAGCTAATGTTCCCGGATGGAACAATCGTCTTTGGCGATTATCTCAAGCTCCTCTCGGAGTGGATTTTTAACATCGACCAGGATCTCGATGTAGAGAAGGCCTTCGCGTTATTCGACACTGATGGCAAGGGTTACATCGATTTTAATGATCTTCGAAGGGTGCGGGATCGTCTCGGCTACTCTCAGGAAATCGATGACGCAGAACTTATCGATATGCTCATTGGATCTCAGGTATCCGTTCCCGCTTTTGGTTGGTTCTTGCGTTCAATCATCAGGCATATCTACACAAGGGATATTTAGCATAGTTCATAATTCAAAGGAAATTCCAAATCCTATTTTTATATATCTTAACTTTCCAAGGAACGACTTACTTTTCACTGCAGTTTTCTTATTTATATCATAATTAACAATGTTTTAAATACAGGGTCAACCGATTTCGGCAGCTTACTACTTATTCTTACTGTGTTTACAAGTCAATTCCCTCTGTCATCCTACAGCGTTTATCAATCTTATTTAACGACAAACTGATAACAATACTTTGCTATTCTAGACATCTTGTAATTTCAAATCACTTCCTTACCGCAGGATGTTTTATTTGGTTCTGGTGATTTTGAACTTTGGGAGGCATTTCTACTTCACGGCTGATACATTTGCAGTTAGGGTATTTCTTTACTTCTCGTACAAATTGAGGAAAAAGTGTTCCATGCTGTCCGTTGTAATTGCTTGGCCTAAAACGAGACGTGACTAAGCTCTCCGTTATTCAGACGATGAACATTAAGACCTTTCCTTTAAAAGAATACATTTAGTACTTGGGGAACTATTATCTAGGCCAAAATGAAGTAATCGCATCGAATTCACAAAGGCCTTTTAGCGGAGATTTTAAGGTGTAAATAGTATGAAAATGATTCTTAACTCAAGCAGGGCTTTAGTCACTTATATTCTTCAATTACTTTAATTAATTTAGGGATTCTGTATGTTTTTTGTATAAGATCGTAACAATTATTGTCACAAGGCCTAAAGATTTTACTAATTCTTCAAAATCTCTTACCCACACATCTCTTGGTAAGTCAGGAATTAATGTACTTCACTTTTCTGGTGCATTTCGAGTCTTTGAAGATCAAGCAGCAAATTTTAAATACTTTTTAAAGCATTTCACACTTGGTGGAAGAATAAAGCCCACCTGGTGACCATTTGGTGTGATTTTACTAAGAAATCGTGGATTCTTGGGCGTTAGTTCTTCTTCTCTCTCATCCAGCAAACTGATGCGTTCTGTCAGCTTACGGACAAGTTGCTTGTGGGATCAGCAGCAGTGAAGGTTGAAGGTGTTCACGTCAACTTTTGGAGAGTTTAACATTTTATCCGAAGGCCCGGCAATCAAACAGAATATTTGGTATTTTGATGTTATAATAAGCAATGGTAGTGAGTCTTCAAATCCATCTCATGAAAACGGTTTGAGTGGATTTGCTTTTGAACCAGCGATGTTTTAGTTTTCCTCTACTAACCAATCTAGATCGCTCACTAATAGTATGTATCTATAGGCTGTAGCAGATTAACAGGTGGTACTGAAGTCGTTGTAATGGATGCTGACTGGACAAATCTAAACTAATGAACCGACATTATTGGACTTTCGGCTTCGGCGCTACCCTCCATAATCTTGTCAAAGTGATGAATTTATATGATTCGTCTTTATACAGCGACAGCGGAGAAATAAAGCTTTGGGACCCTTTCTTTTATTTTATGCAATAGAACCCATCTTCCATTTATTCTACTTGGTCTCACACTGTTTACTTAAGTAGTAACGTAAACATGGTCCCACTGCTGTTACCCGTTCGGTTTTACATGAATATATCTGTTGGTTCTACTACGGCTTCAAATTCATTATTATTCACCTTGGTGGTAGCTTGAGTCTCAAATTCAGCTTTTTCAAACTGTTGACGAACTGGAGAGTTTCAAGCAACCCTCAGTGTATTTTTTTCAGTCCATGATGGAACTCTTATTCAAGTATGACGCCTGCTTTACAAATGGAGGTAGATTCACTGTCGATGCACAAGAAAGTTGGGAGAAAAGAAGAATAAGCGCATCTGTACATCTCCAGAGCTGAAACCAAGCCGCAAGACATTTGGAAGGTCCCTCGTCGACAATTATAAAAGCAAAATAGACTTAAATCCTAAACATAAAACTAATACGCCCCCTTATATAACAATAGTTTTACGAAAAAAGCTCAAAAAGGACCAGATTGGTTTAAAAACCCAGCATGCGTAGGATCACCTAATTAATGGTTTCCTGATTCGCCAAAGGTAAACGATGCCGCACAGGAATTGAAGGAGATCTACGAGGACCGGCAGGATAAGACACGTCTGAGAAAGGGTCAGGGCTACGCCACCTCGGTGGGGGTGGGGGATGCGGTTGGCGGGGCGGAGACCGGCCCACTGGTGGTTCTGCCGGCTATCGGCATGCACCGACGCACCTCCTCCAAAAATGCCTATGATCCCACTGGACTCACTGTCGACTTCGACAAGTTCAAACGCGTTCTTCAACTTGAAGCCGCGCCTCCTGAACCCATCTAACTCTGACACTACATGTATAAACAAAAATAATAGTAATGCATTAGCAATAGACGTATGCCCTATTTCTACTATTCTCTTTTTTACCACAAACACCAATGATTTTTCATGCGTATGGAATTTAAAATGAATATATGAACTTTCTTATTAATGGTTGATAAGATTTCGTTATTACTAGCACGATGTAAATGAACCTCCATCAGAATTCAATTCATAAACTCTCTAATATTATATATATTTCCACTTCTCATTTTACGACATGAACAACTTGGAATTTTCCTTTCCAGTTCCTATTATCTCTGTGACAAAAGGTTTCGAGGGCTGGTAGTTGAAGTATGAGGTCATCACTCACCTCGCAGACAAGGTTATGAAACTGGGGGGGGGAATAAACCCCTAAGGTCTTAAAGAGACAAACATCTCAGTAGAACCGCAGCTTACTCATTCAGACGGTAGATGAAAGAGATCGGCACGCACGTCCACCCTCCTGCCCACCCGCACAGACAGGACAGTCAAAATACGATTTTTTTTCCGAGGATTTTCCCTGAACAACATATGCGCAAAATCAGTCACTACGCTTCTTTTTCATCAACAAATCAGTCCCTCCTTATTTTACCTCCATTGGAGTGGTCGAAAATTGTCGGTAAGTTTGTATGTTTGTACGTCTAGTCGTCTACCCGAGAGGAAAACGCGAAAAGAAAGGGAGTTAAGGGTGAAAGAGAAATGATTTATATCCGATGGTGCCAACGCCAAGGCCCTCCTCTATGAGGTAGTGTCCAAAATGGATTAGCTTCCTTGGGGCCACCCCGCTACTCTAATTATTTTTTTGTGGGCAGAGCGGCAAACATGAAAAAAAGGGCGCGATGTATGTATCCCTACTTGCGGTTTGTTTGTGTGTGTGCCTGATGTCTTTGATACCTGAAAAGGGGGAAGTGTAATTTGCTGCGCTTGGTCTTAATTCCTTGTTTTGGCAGCCTAAAAACCATCCTTTTGGACAGTCCTTTTCTTGTTTTGAGCATATTTGAGAGCGCTACCTATCCATTGGTTGTCATAACCGAGTGGAGATGGGTTGAAATTATCCACGAGACCCGAACAAAAGTTGAGTGTCAAATTTTAGCATTTGGAGAAAGCTTTTGAGCCTAAATGTAGCGCTGCAATTTGTAAATTTAGGCGGTCGATCTGCCTGATATTTAAAAGATTTAATAGAATTTATAAGGTCCAGTTTGTAGTCTTACTGAATCCATTTTTAACAAGTAAATTTCTCTGAAACTGGTTATTGCGATTCAATTTCTAAGTAATTTTTGCTGTCATTGGAATTTGGGAAACGTAAACTTTTCTTAGATTTTAACAGTTGTTTTTATCGGAAGATCTTAGATTGTTATTTTTTGGTTGTGAGTGAACCTGACTCGCTCAAGCTAAGCCTCACTCCATTGATTAACACGCTGCAGACAGCGAGGGGTTTTAGTATTTGCAATGTTCTAGTAAGCCTTTCTTCACTCTTCTCCTTTGAGTCTTTCAGATTCTACCATTGTTAACAGATTTTGAAAGGACATAGACCCTTTAAGGGGTTGAGCACGTCTTATTACTGCTATCAGTATGGCGACCACGCTAAACCAGAGAACGTTTTTGAGGCATCAGTCAGTAACTTGTTGTGTCAGACATCCATGTCATTGAGTTGGAAGACGAGCAACGAAAGCTTGAGGAGTTCCACTTTGTGTTTACACGTGCAGAACCGCCATCATATTGCTGAACAGTATAAGAAGGTCCTAATTGACCTTGTAGTTAGTGTAGAAGATATTTCGTGATTCAAGCAGAACAGTAGGTGGTCTTGGTTAGATGTTATGTCCTGAAAATCGGCCAAACAATAGCTAAATGAAAGCTAGCAGCATAGCTGACTGAAAAAAACTTCCTAAAATCAACCAATCATTATACCACAAACAAGAATATATCTACATGAAATCTTACCAAAAAACACATTGAGACTAAGATCAAAACTTTTGAAAGGGTCTGATAAAATTTTATGTTTAATAAGTTTAAAGACATTGGAGGCATTCCTGTTAAAGGCAACAATGATCTTCCGAATCTCGAGTTGGCTGGTTGCATGGCAGACTCAACAAAGTTTGTTTTAACACTGGTAAGAACGTTTTGGGAATGCCTTTGTTGGATACCCCTCCAGTAGGATGTTATTGATATTCCTAGTTATCCGTATCTTTATAAGAGTCACTGCCGCTTCATAAACAGTATATTTTCTGATTTTTATATCGCTTCCACACAGGAATGTCTATTTTGGGTGTGATTACGCCACTTCTAAATAGTTTTTACGTCGAAAAATGCAAACAATGTGTACGCAACCATACCTTCGTGGCACGAATAAGTGCCGTAAGTATGCAGTGCTGAGAGGCGGGAATGCACTCGCCAAAAATGCTTGGCGATTTTAAGAATACCGTTTCACAATTCTCAACTTCCTTGTTAAGATTCTTACCTATCAGTTACAAGCATGGGTCTTTTAAGGTGATTATAATAGGAAGGATAAGCATTAGTAAGGTGTAACTACGACCGTTCATGGTCAAAGTAAACAGATTTGGAGGAAGATGGCTCAGTTATCGGAAAACGGGACGGTATAACTTTAAGTAGATCATTTATTCCAAACGATATTCCAAATGTTTAAGGGGTACAGTTTTCTAATTCACTTTGTGGCCTCGTGGCACACTCAAGACGGCTTTTGCGGCACGAATGATTAAACGCCCGCCTGGAGGAGAAATGAGTGGGGGAGAGAGGCAAAGGGAATTTTACGATTAAGGTCCAACAACAGAGCTACGCGATAAATTGCTGATGCCTGTAGCCCGTGGTTGGGACCGCCCCCCCCCCCCCCATCTACTCAATAGATGTTTGTGCGCATGTTAATGAGAGAAGAGCCTCATCACGACCTTGAACATAGCGGTAGCAGCAACAGTAGTAGTAACAGTAGCTGTTGTGCCTTTGGGCAGGATGACAAATAAGCGTAGATAAATCAGCCATTCGGATAATGCTATCGATGATAGAATAACGGTGATGGGCGGCTACACCACATCAGACCAGCTCTGTGCGTACGTGTGTGCATTTAAAAACAGCAGCACACCAAACCAATTGGGTGGGGGGGATGGGGATGGAATAGGAATGGGAAAGAGACGGGTACAATGATTAAAGCTTGCATTCGGTACACATGTGCACCAAATTTATTCACATTAGCCCGGATGAGTTGAATCAAACGATGCCGCTAAAATTAATGTCAGCATCGAGTTATGGGATGCCTTTAAGGGTTGGATAAAACTCCACCTGTTTGTCGAGAAGACAATGGTCTGACATCTACCGTTTTTGTGTGAATTATGCGGTGCATTTGGGAATTCGCACGATAACAATGGACGAGATCTTGTAGGCTGTCCTACAGCTGGTGTTGTTTCGCCCAATGACAAACAAGCCGTGGTACTTAATGAATTAGTCGCTATTTCACCAAATTTGTACCTATCAAAATCACTGATATTTTAAATCAAAATTTGTGGTTTTGGTCATTTTTCTTACGTTTTGGTCATGCAAACGATAGTTAACACATTAATTGATGTCATTTAATATTAAATGCTGCAAGACCTCAAGCAAATCGGCAGTTCTATTCTCAGTTGTTCCATTCAATCAGTAGAGTCATTGCTGCCAAATATCATAAATAGTGCCATTAAGAGCCTGCAGCCATTCGCCATGATGCTGGGATCTCCATCACAAGCTAGCAGTAATAAGTTTATTATATATGCATATTTATTAAATGTTTCTACTTTGTGTTATTTTGAGTAGAGATACATTTTGGGTTTTGTCTTTTTCCAACGTAATCACACCGAAAGCATGATAGAGTTTTGACAAAAGACTAAGTGAAAAAGTCTTTGGAATCATTTAAAAATAGGGATAATCTATGCCACGATATGGTAATTGCTTGGTTAGCTCTCGGCTGTGATAACAGGTCACTTTAAGGCACCGCCATTGTAACTTTGCCAAGCGGCCTAGCCTCCGGGTCATGCTAGTGGACCTTCACGCCTTCTGCGTGTGGCCAGTGAATATCCCGTTTAAGTACCTTTTACTCTTTCGTCTTCAGGGAGGTCTCAAGTCGCTACATTGGAGACAGTGGAAAGCGTATTCCATCTTACAGGACCTGAGTATGACGGAAAAAGCGCATAAGCCATAGATGAGAGATTCGATGACGACTCCTGGATAGAAGGGCTGAAGATGATGCCTACCTTAGTGTTCTTCGGGAAAGCTACGAACTACTGAAGTGAAACTAGCCGTGAGTATACAGAAAGGTTAGTTACGGAGCTGTCAACTGTACCTGCATGAAAATATCAATGTCAATGTCCACTTCTTTACTAGCCGGATAAAACCCAGACAGATATGACTGAGCAACACTGTAGTGAGAACAAAGTGCCAATGAGGAAAAAACGTCAATGAACTACGTCAAGTCCCATCCTTTGCTATATGACTGTGTTTTTAGGCCAGTGTTCCTACTAATAGCTGTGGACATGTGTGATGGCCGACACATTCCCTTCTTCCCTCATACAATTTGCCCACAGAACGCTACTCCAAATTCATCAAAATTGCCAAAAGACATCAGTAAAGTTGCAGTCAACTATGTCAGCTGCATAGAAATTCGCTGACTGGCGTGGTTGGCTCGTGGGTGTTTTTCTTACAGCACCGATTACGTTATGATGGATTACAAAGTAGGTTAACCAAAGCGATCGTCGAGGACTACGCACAACGAGGGACAGGAGGTATGGAATATGTTAACTGTTTACTTAACTCTCGGTTTTGGTAACGGGCTACTTAGGGGCTCTGCTTTTGCACCCTGTCCGGGCTGCCTAGGCCTCTGCGTTATACCAGTATCTTCGAGTCCTACCGCAAGTCGA